GGGGGGGGGGGGGGGGGGGGGTACTTGGTCCTAATTAAGGTGTTACACGCTGGCAATTTGCTCTGCCCAGCAGGGGCCGCGCGATTTGAAGGTCCGTGAAATAATGAACAGGTTTAATGTATTAGAGAAGAGTAAACCAACGCGGACGCGAGATATGTTGTGTATGAAGAACATTTCCCTCCGCGAAAACAAAACAAAAAACCTTTTGTGCTGTGCAAAATGGGAAATGAAATTGTGACCCAGTGCCTCTCCGGAAATGATGATCTCATAAGCTTTAAAAACAATATTACGAAAGCAGCACAATGCAGGAAATTCGTTTTAAAATAACTCTGGCCCCTTAACCAAATAGCAAACCCAGAAAAGTATATCATATTCTGAAAGGTAGAAGCATCATTGGCTACTTTATATTTTCATTTCAATAGGGTCTTTACATCTGTTCAGACAAAGAATGTCTAAACCGATTATATGAAAAAACAAGGGGGGAAACCCACGATATCGGTAAAGAAATTCAGAGAACTCAGTCAAAGCGCTCTTCTGAATGTGGAATTCCGGGAGTTAATTAAAAGACTAATAGCATACTTCTGTATGATGTGCGCATAAGCAGAGAATGAGGAGGGGGGGGGGGTAATAAACTTTGCTCTACAAATGAAGGAACCAAACAATTTTCTCTGAGCGGTAAACTAATGTTATTTCAGTGTTCCTGCGACATAGCATTATTGTCATTATCCCCATTTAAAGCAACTCTCTATGTGAACCTTCGGTATAGGAAGAAGAGAAAGATCTTTTGAGCAGTGCCACCTGGGAAATGGGCCAGCGTGGTCATAATACCACTGGATTCCTTCTCAAAGAACGAACATCATAATACGTCGTTCGAAAATGAAAGATAACGAAGCTTGGACAGTGGTGGATAAAATAAAGTTAAAACCCGAACAACCCATACACAAAAACTTTTGATATCTTGCTTAAATACACAATTTCAGAGCATTCTCTGCGTCCGTTCAGTAATTTAATTAACAGCGGGCGTTTCGAATTGCTATCCGGTTACAAAAAATATAATTTTACTAGATGAGATTTAATGCCAATATATATTGGTACAATATTTTCAAAAAGAAGAAAACAATATTTTTAGAGACAACAACAACTGAGAGAGAGACTAGAACTCGGCGCTCAACAGATTCAGCTCCTCCAAATGAGGAATGAGGTCCAAATCACACTTCAATGAAGGTTATTAACTTTTTAAATAATCCCAAACAATTTTCATGGCATATGCCAACAGAAGTTAACGGCTCAAGTAACTAGCAAGTTTTCAAAACATATTTTTTGTGATTCAAAATAAAGCCTGAGGAGGTGCTACAAATCGAATAGCTTATAAATAAAATAATCTTCAAAAAGGTACGAGGTGGGGCAAT